CTTTTTGGTTGTACCTCTTAATTAAAGCAATTAATAGCTTTGGGATTCTCTGTACACTTTGTTCCAAAATGTTCACTTATTTTTCAGATGAACACCACTGCAGGTCAGTGTTCTTTTTCTTGTGCCTGTAATGTGATGTGGTGTTTTGGGTTTTTGGTGGGGGGTTTTTGTCATTGTTGTTGTCATGTTTAGTTTTGCAGAAATAGTTGGCAGTATGGTCACAGTAAGTCCTCTTGGGTAAATCCCACTTTGTCAAGCTGTTATACTTTTTTCTCCATAAAATGGATTCTATAGCCAGAATCTGACCATGCTCATGACATCTACAGTTACCACCCTCATCAAAGCCACCATCTCTCTCACCTGGATTCCTGTCCTATCTCAGCTAGTTGATATTCCACCTTCCATCTCCCACAGTCTGTGCTCAACACAGCAGACAGAATGTGCCTCCCAAACCAGGAGAGTTTGCACAAAACTTTCTTAATTTTCCCCGTTGGCAAATGTCACAGGAATTGTTCAATCTCTTCAGATAGGATTTGAGAGTCGCCCAAAATACTTCCCAGAGATTTGTTCTTCTGCAAATCTGTTCTGCTCAGGACTGCTGCTTCCTAAACTATTTTGACAGAGAAGGATGTAGAGGATTGTCAGAAAGGGTTGAATACAAACTTCCCTAGTCAGGGAGGGAAAATGTCACCTCATCAGTGAAAGACAAATAATAAAATGCCCACTTTTGTTTCTTTGATATAACTTACAGCTTTGGGTGTTGATAACTTAGTCATCAATAATATACTTTTTGATTTATCCCTAGTATCTCGTTCCTGTGCCATGACCTCTCACCTTTCTTCTATGTCTGTGGAGACAGGTTGGCTGTGGTGGAGGGGAACCATGAACAAGCTCATAAACTTTTAACTTTATTGTCACGTGTTGTTTCAATGGATTAAAAAACCAGATATTCCTGCTTAATTCTCAGAATTACTTCCAATCTAATCCTAAAACATCTACTTTTCTCTGCCGTTGTATTTTCAAAAGTAGGGGAACGAACCCTCTTTCTATATAAAGATTCATCCAAAGTAAATCTAATTCTATGGGAAACTGTACAGACAGTCCCTGGACTAAATATGAATTCCATTCCTAAATTTGTCTTTAAGTCAGATTTGTACAGAATTTAGAATAGACACATAGTTATCTAATACAAATCAGTCATGTGCTTGTCTTGGTATGTAGTGTGCCTTTCTATGTATAAAAACATTAAGTAAATACCTTTTGATACAATAAAACAGTTAACATTACAGTAATGATGATGATGTGTGATAAACAACAGAAGATCGTATTTCTTTTAACTCTAAGTCAGTGTGCAAGCCTCAAATTTTTAACTGGTTGATTAGTTTGTAACTAGGGAGCTTTGGTAGCATGGACTAGAGGGAGTTGGTTCGTAGCCAGATTATACGTAAGTTGGACATTCATAACCATCTTACTCAGCTTGTTAGGAAGAGCTTAGTAAAGAGTCATAAATACAAACCTTCTCCCCTGGAAGCCCCATCCACCAAGTTAACTCTGACTCCTAAAAACCCTATAGGCTACAAACTATGGTTTCTAAAGCCGAAAATCTTTATGAAAGGCAACTGCTATTACATCTTTCTCCTGCATGATGTCTGGAGGGTTAAAGCTACAGGCTTTATAGTTAGCAGCTGCGCTCCTTAATCACTGCATCGCCAAGCTTCCTTCCACCTTTGAACAGGGTAGTAGCTTTGATTTTAGAAAGCCCATTTTAAATGGCAGGTAGTTTAGAATGAAGGAGAAAGTTCTTCAAATGCCTACTTCTGTGAAGATGCTCTATTGCAAGTCTAGGCTGTTATGATTTGGAATAGAATAGCTCTTGGGTTGCCTTTCCTTTGTGATGCATTCTTTCTGGGTGCTCTGGGGCACCTGCAGGCCCATAGTCACGTTCACAGGCATCTCTTCAGCAGGACTGCCCAGGGTTGATGGCTGTTGGCTGGGTCCCCGGGTACTCTCAGGGTAAGGACTGTTGTGTTAAAACCACCTGCCATCTGTTGGTGAAAGATTTTTGGATTCTAAGTAATGAGTCACTTATTTCTCCTGCTGTTCCTTCTGCTGCCAGGACTAATTTACCTATTGGACGTTATCAGGAATATATATTGAAATAACATGTCATGAAGCCCAGACCCATGCAAAGTTCATATGCTGAGTGAGCAATCTTCCCAGTGCCATCACTGGGAAAAAGTTCTTTGTATTTCTGCAAGGCTGGAGAAGACACAGTGGTGCTTTGTCTGATCCATACTCCGGGGTCCTTCACAGATAAAGCCACTGACTTCAATAGGCTTAAGAGATGAGGGTCTAATGGTGCTTCCACATTTCCTTACCAACATGTATTTGGCTAGCAGCTTACTAAGATGCCAGTGCTTGCTACCCAGTGTGGCATAGTGTAAGCCCTCAAAGGTTAAGTGAACAACTGAGGCCTGTAACCACAAAAAGGGGCAAGACTGATGTGTTCAGGGTCACCATGAGTAGTGTACTGAGACCACCTTAACCCATTAGGCCAAGTGTGACTAACTTATAGTGCCACCTACAAAGTCACCAAGGAGACTGAATTCTGCTGGAATTCAGATCATGTCAACCTTAAGATCAAAATACTGGGAGTGGTCATTGGGAGAAATTCCAGGGACATCTTCTTAACATACTTGGAGCTATGAATACAAGCTGAAAATTAGCACCGTGGGGCTTCGTGGTTGGCATCTGAAGTGTCTGGGACGGAGGACCTGATTCTAACCACGCAGCCAAGTGCTTTGCTGGTGAGAAAACTGAAGCTCACATTGACAAACCCCTCTACCCACTAGTGAGGCAGCCCAAGCCTTGGGCTAAAATACAATATGCACATCTCCACTTACTCAGTTTTCTACAAATCAGATTTTATTGTATCATCAACTTTTGTGCAAAAAAATTTTATTAAGGTGACTCAAATGTAGCTTTATTCACATATTCTAAAATAATTCATTTCTATTTCATGGCTTGCATTTTGTCCTTTTTTAAAAAAAAAATAAAAAAGTTAAACAGCAGCAGTAGCAGTAAACCCCTAAGTGCAGAGGAGTCTCATCCCTCCAAGCTGCCCCATTTCCCTCAACCTTTGTGAAGCTTTCCTGCCTGGAGAAAATATACCAACACTTAGGTGGGTGGGATTTTTTTATTCTTACCACAGAGTGGGTGTCTTTTTATGATTCTTCCTCTAGCCTCCTAGATCAGAAGCAGAGATAAATGCTCACTCAAAGTCCTAGGAGGGGGCAAAAATTCCTATATTCTCAATTCCAGGCTCAAAGCACCAACTTGCCACCAGTTAACAGCCTCCTGCCAGGGGCCATAATCGGAAGGGTGGCCAGTTGCGTGAGCCTGCCTGAGATACCACACACCTCAGGTAACCTTACCAATGAAAGGAGTGGCCACCCAAACAAGAGTGATGCTGAGAAATCTTGCAAAGCCTTGACAAAACCTATTCTTGAATGATGACGGTGGTGTGGGACACAGGTAGAGGGGTAATCGATCAGAGAGCACAGTGCTGTTAATCTCCATTGCTAGAAAGTATCAATGCCTAAATTAACCTTTACGATCACTGTATCTTGCCTGTATACAAAGCATAGGTGTTGCTGAGGTTCTAGAAGCCCTGATTCCTGCCTTCTCCAGGCACCGAAAAAGTGGTGGCTCCAAGCTGATACTCAGGGCTTTTTGGTAACAGTGTTCAAGAGAACAAGGTGCCCAGGATATCTGTGTTTCCTACTCTGAATGGCAATTTGGCCTTAAGGAAGATGCAGAGGAGTTGCGGGACTCTTGGTGAACTCATGATACAAGAGAACTTTGGCAAATCGTCTACATTCACCACTTCAGAGTTGGAAAATCAAGGCTTCTTGGACTTCAAAGCAGCAACAGGATGTAGTGGTCACTTGGTGCCACTTAAGCCAGGTGCTCTGGCACGCAGGCTTTCAGTGCAGGCACAAAAAAAATAAAGTCACACCAGACCAAGGCACCCTCCTTCTCCGAGAGTCTCAGATAATGAGAGTGGGAGCTCTGTGTGACTACTATTATTGCTCCAAAGGAGCCTTTATGTCAGAAGTAGAGGAGACAACAGACCTGTGAGGATAAAGGAACGGATCCACACTAAACCAGCCCCTTGAGTAAGCTGTGAACAGACTGTGGCCTAGAACATTTAAAAAACAAAAGTTTCTACTGCTGACAAAAGCAAAGAGTATTATCTAATACTGGATTTTCTCAGTTTTGGAAGATTTTTGCACACAGCAAATAGCTACCTATCAGCCCCTCTGAAAAAGTAGCTCGTGGCTAACCTGCGTTTGTGCAATGTCTTACCTTGTGGCTTCAAGGCTATTTTGGAAATTTTGATATATGGGGCAACAGAATTAATGAAAGACCTATTCTTCTCCCTAGCATCACCTCACACAAACAGCATCCCCAAGTGGTCCAAGACAGCAGAGTCCACCAAAGTGAGCTGCTTTCAAAGACTGCCTGCTTCTCAGAGTGACTTGCAAGAAGTAGAGATGCCAGGTAGACATTTCCTAAGGCCTGGTTATTTACCAGATGGGAAGCTACTCTGGGAAGCTTTAACCCTAACTACAGAAAGGCAAACCATTGGCTTCAGGAGTGAAAATTCATCGTAAAGGCAAAGAGATACTCCAGAGAGGAGCATTTTCATAGAAGGACTGAAAATTCAGGAAAGGAGGAGGCTTGGTCACAGCTGCTTCAGAATTGGCCTGCCAGGCCCCCAGGGGCACAGAGAATGTGACAATTGAAAGGGAGGCTTTCCTGATCTGATTAATGCATGTGCAAATCTCCCTGCTTCAAAGGAAATGCTGGAAGGTGAGAATTCCAAAAAGGCTGTACCAGCTCCACATGGCACTTGGAGCCAAGCTACTCACTAGGCCATGGCACCCAAGCACTCTCCTTGCTCAGACACCTGGGACTCCAGCTGGGTAGCTGTGGATTCAGGGCCACCCTGTGCTGTCTCCCTGGGAGATGCTCAGCACTGACTTATGGGGGATTCTGCACTCTTGTAGGGATTTGGTGAGGTCCCCAAAACATCTCCTGGGCACCTCCACTGTTTCGACGCTGCAGCGTGGGTAGGTGGTGTTGTTCTTTTGTTCAGCCACGGCCACCACGGTTTGTAAGTTATCTGTTGGCCGGAAATAGCGTACAAACCTTTGGCCAGACGGTGACCTGACTGCTAGCAGCAGCCTTGGTTCTTGGTCTGATGGTTCCTCCAAGTTGCCACTCCCAGCGGATCCCCGTCTTTTGGCTTGCATGACACCTTCCTCTTCCAGGAGACAAGCCTGAGCTCGGGAATCTTCTTTGCTGGTCTTCATGGTGCAGATCTCCTCCTGATAGTGGCCCACGAGTCTGCTCAGCTGCAGTGAGCGGACCTTTGTAGCTCCTGTTTCTCCTGCCGTCTCTTCCAGGTTCTTTCTGTTGATAGAAGGGAGCACTGGGTATTTATTGAGCGACGGGGAAGCCCTGATGGACACCTGCTGCAGCCGCTCGGGGATTTCATCAGGTGCTCTCTGACTGGGAGACCTGGGTGTGCTGGCCCCTGGTTTCCAGCTGCTTGATGATGGGCAGGGAGTGACCACAGGCGGAGAAGCAGGCGTGCGGTTGGCGCACCCCTCTGTGTCCCGGGCCACATGTAAACTTGGCCGTGTTCGCCCCTTGGCAGACTTGGGCCTTGTAACGTGCATGGTGAGGGGGTTTGGCTGCCAAGTGAAGGTGTCTGCTGCCCTGCCAACTGCACTGCTGCATCCAGAGGGTGTGATGTTCACAGGGGATTCTGTGGCCATTGCTTCTCAAGAGCCCTAAGGAAGCAGAGAGAAACAGAGGATGCCAGAAATTAAACTATCCCTAGGGGTACTGGAGCCAACCAGCTCACCCCAAGGGCCCACAGTGACTGGCTAATCCCTTTGAACAAAAGAGTGACTGCAGCCTGCTAGGTCAGCAGAGAACCAAAGCTCAGCTTCCCCAGCAGAGTTGAGAGGATGGACAAACTGCCCCCAGCACTCCTGCTGAGAGCGCTTCCTTGACAAAGGAAAAGCAGTATACTCCACTCCCTCATTCTCTGTGGAAGAGCCACTTCTCTGCTGGTTTGCCCAAATTTCACTGTGCCTCAATTTCATTACCTGGCTCTGCACAGGTCACTTAAGAGTACTAACCCTCCACTGTCCCAACTCTATCATCCTTCTTGAGGACCAAACACTTAGAAGTTTCTTCCCAAGGACCTTGCAAATACCATTGCAAATGAAGGTCTCTGTGGATCCTCCCACAGGAGACTCTCAGGCATCCCTGGGTGGCACAAAGGGATGTCTGGCTGCTAAGCAAAAGGTTCGAGGTTTGAATAGGTCTCTTCAAGGCACCTTGGAAGAAAGTCTGGGTGATCTACTTCTGGAAAATCTGCTGTTGAACACCCAGTGAGCACAGTTCTAATTTCATGCAGACACAGTCCTCATGAAATTGGAATTGGCTTAGAGGAATTACTTTTGTCTTTAATATGAAGCACACAGGAGCATAATTAAATCCAACAGACCCAACTGAAGGTGGGAGACAAGTGCATTTATCTGTGTGGGCCAGGAATGGAGAAATCACCATCTTGTTGGTCCCTTCCCGAATATCAGTACAACTTGCCTTCCATCCCCCAGACCTCTGCAAATGCCTACTAGACTCTCTCACTCCTCCGCACCCTGGACACCACCAAGACCGCTGCCTCTTCTGTCCACATGCTGATCAGATCTCTCCCAGACTTCTAAAGGCCTTTTGGTGGCTTCCAGAACCCTGGTCCCCAAGATGCAACATGTTTGGGTGGCAAAGGACCCAGGAGTGGCTGTCATGAGTCTTGGGCTCTACCTTTCAGTGTTTACTAGCTAGCTGTATGACCACGGGGTGTTCACATAGGTGCGTTCCTTTCCTCACCTATAGAATCAGCTACATGACCTGAAAGACTTAGAAATCGTAGATCCTTCTGCACACCTGTGAGAACGACACTAATGAAAGGGATGGAACCATGGTAGGAAGGCCCGGGGCTCAGCCCAGAGTCGAGCATGATGAAATGCTACATGCTTGGTTTCCAGTTTGGCTTTAGTGCTTCCTCCTCACCTAGACCCAAGGTCGCACCCCTTCTTTTCAGTGCTTCTCCCAGGGTGTCCTTGCTTCTCCTCCTCCTCCACTCTCACCACCTGGGTGAATCACACTACCCTGCCCACTGCATAGAAATGCCATGAGGTTCATTTCCATGAGCTACTGCCTACAGAACTGCCTCCAAAAACTGCTAACGAAATGCCGGAGAGTATTGTCAATCTAGATACAAAGGTGCGCCTAATCCAGGGCCCTGGTCTTCTCAATTACATGTTATGCTTCAGAGAGCTGGACAATGACTAATGATGACAGAAAGAGAATCGATGCCTTCGAGTTGTGGTGATGGAAAAGAGTATTGAACATACCATGGGCTGCCAAGAAAACAAAAAGGTCTGTCTGGGAGAGGGGAAAACCAAGTCTCTCCTTGAAGGCGAGGATTTTGAAGCTCCACCTCACTTAGTTTGGGCCCGTGGCCAGGAGAGATTGGTCCTTGCAGAAGGACATCATGCTCAGAAGGGTGGATGGACAGCGCAGAAGAGGGAGATCCCAGATAAGATGGATTAATACAATAACTGGGACGATGGGGGTTGGTGTGTCGGAGTTATTAAGACTGGCTCAGGACAGGGAAGGGTTCAGTGCTGCTGTTCATAGGGTCGCTATACATCGCAAGCAACTCAGTGGCATATGAAAACAATAACATACTATGACAGGTCTGGAAACAGGAGTGGCATCCACTTCCTAAAAAGCATGCCTCCAGAAACTCCATGAACTTTGATAAATGTCGATAGTTGTAGAGGGACTTCAGGCCTTTTGTTTATGGGGTCGCTATCAGTCATGCTCAACTCAAAGGCAATCAACAACATTACCACTAATGAGTCGATGTTTGCCTCTTATAAACCCAAACCACATCCACTGTCACCAAGTGGACTCACAGTGACTCTACAGGTACCCCCCTAGGTGTTCCCCTCCCCCAATTCTATTTTCAAGGCTGTAAATCTTTCCAAAAACAAACTGCCTCCCGTCTCTCTTCCTGAGTGGCTGGTGGACTTTAACTTGGTTAGCCTTAGCAGGGGGTTTCCCTCACCACCACTTACACTCAAAACCTCTCAAACTGTCTCAGAGCTGTCAAATCAGAACCAGCTCTTGGCTGACCCTCCAGCTGGTCTCCGAGGTTATAAACCACATGGGAGGAGATTACTCATCTTTCTCTCAAGGAGGCGATGGCATAGCCTCTGGTTAGCTGTGCAACGCCCTACACAGACCAGGCCACCACAGCTTCCTCCCTCCCGGCTTGAGTTCACTTCAAATTTACTCTCTCTGAGCTACTTTCATCATGCAATCCTGAGCAATGTGATTCAAGGACCCTATGCTTTACATGCAACATTCCCCATTAAGCATCTGCTCCACAAGTGCTACCATGATTATGCACTTTTAGGAAATAGCTCCTCCCTTTCCACTAGAATCATGACCCAACAAAACACAAACTATAATAATATATGTTCACAAAGTCCTAATCAGTTCCAGGTCTTGGAAGAAGTGACCCCTCCTTCCATATTTCAAAGGCCTCTGTGCTCTTCTCTTTAAGCCAATGGCTACTAACTGAAAGGTTGGCAGTTCCAATCTACCACAGGTGCCTCAAATGAAAGGCCTGGCAACCTCCTGCTGAGAGCCCACCACTACTGAAAACCCTAGGCACAGAGTCCTGCTGACACATGGGTAGCCAGTGAGTTGGAATCCACACGCAGCACCTAGTCTGACTTTTATGATCTTTCTTCACGCTGCTCACAAACTGAATCCCTCTACACTCCATCTGCCATTTCTTTTTCTCTCTTCACACCCAATCTGGCTGCTGAGAGTTCAGAAGTCTTCCCTTTGGCTAAATCATGGAGTCAAGAAAGCCTGTCTTTCTTTCTCCTTGTTCATCTATTTTCTGATCAACTGTGAAGAATGTGGGGTGTTTTTTTCCACTCTCCTCCTCTCATCATTTTAGCTGCCTTCTGAAGTCTTTCCCTTTAATTAGGCAGCTCTGCACTTTAACTCAGGGTGGCTTGCCAAGGTCAGAATGGCCCACCTGTTCAGTCAAGGAGAAGCTCAACTGGTAAACCAACTCCCCCTCGCTGCCCTCCCTGGTCCCTGGTGGAATGGCTATTAATTTGCCACAGCTTCTCCCGAATTATCACAGGCTTGGCTTCCAACTCCCACACATGCCTGGGGAAGGTTTAACTGTCAGTAAGTTTGGTAACTTAGAAACCTCTTCCTTAACAACTTTGATGAGGGAAGTCATGTGTTCTCACCAGCTCCCTGCTGGCTTATTTTTAACAGTCAAACTTGACTATGTGCATGCACTTTCCATACCTTTCGGTACTATATAATTATCTATGTTCAGGGGGTGTCACCACCAAGACACCCTGGTCATAAGATAACATGACTGTGAGCTATCTCAGAGAAAAACCTCCATTATGACTAATTCCTCTAAGCCCACTCATGGTTATTTAAAGACTAACACCTCCTTCAGGTAAAACCGTTACATCGAACCTGCTTTCATAACCCGCTGCCTCCCCCTACCCCCAACTCCCTGAGTACAGGGACCATCTGTTACTTGGAGGGAACACCAACTCTCCTGGCATCCATCACTAGGGTAGGGGAGGTGGGGGAGACAGGTGTTGGAGCATTTGAGCCAACTGTACCTTTATCCGCACACCTTAGGCCCCACGCTCTGCCTGCCTCGCTTGATCCAGCAAGGCTCCTTCACACCCTTCAGAATCCCTGCTCTGCTCATTCCACCACCCCAAGGCCTGGCAGACTGTCAACCACAAAGTGATGTGAGGAGATCTAGGCGCAACCATCCATCAAGCTGCCAAATGAATAGGCAAGCGGCCTGTTTACTTAAACACAAAAGCTGCGCCCTAGAGGATGGCTTGCTAGGAGCCAGGAAACAAACATTGATAACTGTTCCCAGGAAGTTGCCCCAAAGGGCAGCTGCCCATTCCTCAAGAAGAATGGACAAGCCAGCTGGAATGAGGGGAAATGTCATAAACAAGTTAAAATAAAATGCCTTCTTTTCAAGAGTGCAAACTCCCCACTAGAGGGTCAGACCACCATATCTCACTGGCAACCCAAATCTAAAACTACACTAAATGCAGTAAAATATAGCCACCCACATGCCATCTGCTGGTATTTACCAAGGGTGCATCCGCTGAATTGGTCTTTTAAAAAATGTTTACCAGTTAATAATATCGCTGGCCAAACATCCCACCTCCCTAGTAAGAACTTGGGAGAATCAAGGGTAATTAGCCCAGGAAGAAAACCTTGGTTCCCTTCCCATTAGAGCACACTTCTCTCCAGAGTGCCAAGGAGAGTGAAGAAATTGGACAAGTCACCAAGTCATAAAAGATTTGGATAGGGAATTGAGGATAATTTCAGCGTCAGGGGAGAGCACAGGGCACTGGACAGCACAAATATTTCCCAGAACCAGGCAGCCCTAGAAGGAAGAAGGAAGAAGCAGCTTGAAAGGAGTGTGGGTGAGGGGTGGAAAGGCATGCTTAGAAAGTGAGAGTGGACCTGGGTAAAAGAGCCCAGGTCTGTGGGAGTCTTGTAGCTGGTGCAGGTCTCCATGTGACCTGATGTCCTTTCTCTCTGGGTCTCAGACACCCTGTCGGTACACTCAGCCAGGAAGGTAAGACTCAGCGGGTCCCCTAGGCCCATGAGCTTCTGCAAAGACAGTGTCCCCATTTTGGTATAAAGGTGAACTCTGGCCCCCGGGGAGAAATGGCCTCTCTCAAGGCTCCTCTCTGGCCTCCGATCTCCCTGTCGGCTCAGGGTTGGGCTGGCCCGTCTGGGCGCAGTGGTGGAGAGTTCAGGGGACCCGGCAGGACACAGCCCACAAGGTCAGGCAACCTTGGCCGCGCTCACCTCGCCGCCCCGCTCCATCTGCCGCTTTGCCTGGCTCCTTGCTCAGTCCCGTTGGTAAACAGCCCTGGTCTCCTGGGCAACCGCCACCGGGTGGGGGGCCACGTGCTTCCGGTCTGCCCGGAACCGGCCTGACTGGCTGGGGTGGGATGGGGTGGGGTGAGTGGGACCTGGGAGGGGCGAGCCAAGGCCAAGTGCAAGGAGGAGTCAAGGCTTTGCTGCTGGAAGGGGGGCTGTCCCTGTCCCGCGATGAGCGGCGAAGAGCCCCCTAACTTGGACTTCACTTGCTTCCTCCTCACCTTTTCCGCACTCTGCCTAGCCGTCCTGGGGGAGGGACGTGCCCAGGGGAAGAGGACGCGGGCCGGGGAGGGCAGAACGCCTCGTGCCCATCCTTAGATTTTTTTTCCCCCCTGACCATTTCAGTATTCCAGGCTTTCAAATAAGGCTATAAGAACTGATTGGCCCCAAGAACCCTGGAATATGAGTGGTGTGACTTAGGGTTCAGGAACAGGTCCACTCTACTACCCATTCTGCAAATTACAGACTTTTCCACCCAGGAGCTGCCCTGCCCCTTCACCTCCTTGTCTCCCTCCACATCCCATTGACTGGCCATGTGGTGAACCTGTTACCAACCACATCGGCACCTACTTTGGCTATTTTTTCCCTAACCAGAATCTCTTACACTGCCAGGAACTCAAGCCAGCTCCATTGCATTTGGTTTTCATCTTTAGAACCTTCAGTCTTTTGCCTCTGCTCTCTCTGCCTGGCATCCCGGTTCCTTCCAACTCTTCTCAGAGTCCTCACCATTCTCTGACCTGAATCCTTCATGCTTTTTGCCCTGCTGTCTTTCCATCCCTCCCATCTAAGGAAAGCTCAGCCCAAATCAGTCCACCATCTGCCTGTGCTGCCTACACTCAAGTACTGAAGAAAATCTTAGCCAGACACACCGGTTGGCCTTATGGAAATATGGTCTCCAACTTCAACGGAAAGCTCAAGCCCCAGCCAACTGTCCTTCCTGGCACCCCATGTTCTCTTTCCTACCCATGACAGTTTGTAAACCTGGTTCTCTTTCCCTGAGGTTCTCTCACTTCTCCCAGAAGATAACCTTACACCCCTCTGCAGAGAGAAAATAGAAGCCATCATATAGAAATGTTCTCAGCTTTCTGTCTTCAGACTCAAAAACGAGGCTGCCTTCCTGCTTCTCCTCCCTCCTATTCTAATGGGGGTGGGGACATCCTCTGAGTCCATCCAAAATTAGCTGCTTCTCCCATTCCCTCCCACATGGCCACGTCCATACACACCCTCACTCTATACTCAGGTCTGCTCCTGCTGTTCTCTCTGCCTAGAAGGTTCTCCTCACCACTTCCCCATTTTTCTTACCTAATTCCCATTCACCCTTAAGGTTTCAAATTAAATGGATGAAGCCTTTCTTCCAAGATGGAATTAAAATGGCTGCAAGAGAAGTCCTAACTGTCTTCAGGCACTAGTCTCGATGCATGGAGCACAGATGTAGAGTTTAGTGACATGTTATTAGAAAATAGTGTTAACAGACATTCAAGATCCAGATTATTAGAAGAAAGAATCAGAATTCGTTATCTAGCACTGGAACAGCATATTGGTTTTCTCTTTTTTTTCTTTCTTTCTTTTCTTTTTTTTTTTTTTTTCTAACTGGCCTGTCCTGGACACACACAGGGTTTCTGAGGTCTTGAACGCAACTTGGGCCCTACCTTCAAGAAGTTCACAATTTGGCTGAGAAGTACACTGATAAAGAGTTAACAACTAGATTCTTTTTATTACGGCTTGAACCAAGGGTGGAGGAGAGGACACAGGACAAATGTGACAATCTGCCAAGCGACTGGCACCGGCAGAAAGTTCTTTGGGGACTGAGAAGGAAGGGGTCAACCCAGTGGTGAGAATTCTGTCCACTAACGAGAGGAAACATCTGACCTGTGGGAGCAGCCAGCCAGGCCCATAGTGAGCAGGCCTCTTCCTAGGGTTGCTCTACCTCCCACCATCCTGGACATCCATGTAGACAGCTGAGGTCCCAGGAAGGTACAGGACATAGTTGCTTTAAGAGCTGATGGTTTTTCCTCCAGTGCTAGTGCCTTATGTCTTGTAAATGATTCTGTCAGAAATACCTAAGCACTACTCTTCAGATCTTCATCGCCCACTTAAAAAAAAAAAATTAAAGTGGATTTTTCATCAGCTATTTTAGTATCACCTTAAGAAGTATGCAGTCCTTGGGAAAATCAAATTGCCTTCTCATCCCACTCTGTGTGTGTGTGTGTGCGCGCGCACGCAGAATGATTATGCCTATGGCAGTGTAACCCTTTTGCTCCCCAGTGTCATGTTATGCACACCTTCAGGGTAAGCCCATAGGGAAGGGAAGAAAGCTGCCAGTCTATTGATGCACTGAGCTATTCTTTAAGGAGAGACCTGACTTTGCTGCCATTGTCTCCATCATGAGTCCTATAATGCCTGCTCTCTAGCATATATACAAAGTGAATTCTCAGAGCACGTGGGCAGAGGTCACTGCCCTACCAGCTTAAACATGAACTCACACTTCTTTCTAACCACACCCTGCTTTATTCTCCAGCTGTCTCCCTGAGCTCTGGCCATCTTGTCCCCCAGATGGACACTTGGCTTTTTCTTTGCAATTGTCTTTGTTCATGCCTGTCTTGTCCTGTGTCCCTTTCTTGAAGTTAATACAAACTGCTGATCCTTTAAGACCCATCTTAAAAAGTACCTCTCCCATAAAGGCCTTCCCTAGTGCCTCACTTCACCATCTCCGATGTTTTTTCCTGTCCCTTTTGCTCTGGTGACCCATGCTTGAACAAACACTGTGCACTTTCCCCAAGGAGCTTCTCTAACACGTACCATGACTGGCCAGTAGTCTCCTTTGAAAACAACTGCAAAGCAGTTTTAGAATGAAAGTCTAACTTATCCCAAAGTCCACCCTGCTTCCCAGCCCTCTCGCCCCCAGGATCTCTCTGCCACATTGTCTGTGTACCCTCCTGGTCACAGAGGTGGCCTCTGCAGCCAAGGCTTGAGCTTGAACTTACTCTACCACTTACTAGCTGAACACCTTGGGTGGTTACCCTAACTCCTCTGGACATCTGTGGAATGGAGATGGTATAAAGTGGATTGTTGGGAGGACGAAATGAGATGATGCATGTAAAAATTCTTGAACAACACCTGGTACATCTAAATACTTGGCGAGAATGAGCCAATATGTATGATACTGCTCTCACCCTACAGTATACCTCTCCTTCAAAAGGTCACAAGCTCCTTGAAAATAGGAATTTGCCTTGCCCATCTTTAGAAACTCTGTTCTGTAAAGAAAAATTAAATTAGTGATGATGATGGTTAATCCACAGCTGCTTTTCTATGGAGGATAAAGCAAGTTGCTGATTGGCATCCTCCGAGGATACCTGCCTGGAAAACCTAAATGACCTCCCCCGGGGCTAGACTGAGGGGGAAAGCCCTGGTTTTCTCAACGTCATGTCCCAGAAGAGTATTTGGTTCCATTTCTGAACTGCTGCTGTTGTTAGCAGCTATGTTTGAGTCAGCCTCCAGTTCGTGGTGACCTCATATTCAGCAGACTGAAATATTATCAGCCTGCTGAAGCATTCCCATGATCAATTATGGGTTTTACTGAAGTGTTTCCACAACTAGTTATGGGCTTTCCTTTTGTGATCCCTAAAGTTTTCACTGGCTGATTTTCAGAAATAGACTTCCAGGCCTCTTTGTCCATCTGTCTGTTTGTCTGGGATCTCCTCTGTAGCCTGTCTAGCAATTATTCAAGCTATGAGTGGTGACTGCACATAAGGTGCATTGGTCAAGAATAGAACCCAAATCTCCTGCATGGAGGTGATAATTCTATCACTAAACTAACAGCCCATGTAGTTTTGAACTGTGGTTGTTAGATGCCATCAAGTGAACGACCACTCATAGTGACTCGATGAACAATGGATCCCAAACTTGTCCTATCCTGTGCCATCCTCATCAGCTCTGATTTACTTGAGCCCGTTATTACAGTCACTGTATTGATTCATCTCATGGAGGACCCTCCTCTCTTTCACTAACCCTCCACCTTCCTACCCATGATATATTTTTCCAAGCCCCTCCTAACAACACATCTAATTGCAGAATCAGGGTCCTGCTCTGTCTTTCCTAGGCCCCATTAGACATGTCAGTTGAGGTCAGCTTCAAGCAGAAAGTGGATGGCTGGATACCTTAGTAGAGGAGTCAAGAGGCTGACACAGCTAATCATGTTGTGATTCATCTTCCTGCAAGAGGGAAGCTTCTAGATAATGACAAAAAATATTCTTTAAACTGTTACAGCTTTTTATTATTTCCCCTACATCACTGGAATCCTTCCAAAATATTCTTGCTACTCATTATTCTTAAGCAGAAGATGTCAAACAGAACTCATCTTGGTTAATGCTGAGAAAACGCTTTCACCACCAAGAGCTTAAATTTTACTGGTCACCATAGGATGTGCGCGGGGTGAGGAGAAGTCAAGATCGACCTCCACTTCCCAGATGAAGTAGTTAAAGTCCCAAGTGATCCTATCTCTCTGTAAGATAGTGGTGGAATTCGGCTACAACTCACCTCTCTGACATAAAATCCCAAGTTCTCTTGTACAGTGCTACCCTTTTGGAGGAGACTTTAAGTCAATGATGGTGCCACAAGTACAATAGTGTTGGTATGGTTGGAGCCACTTGCCCTAGAGTCACTGGTTGCAGGTTCCTAAATCTTGGTGATCTTTTTGTTCCTCCCTTGCCTTCTAGTAGCAGCAGCCTCAGCAGCACTGTTCCTGTTCAACCTCTGTGTCTAAGGAAAAGAGATGTGTTAGAATTGTGTCTACAACAAGGGCATTATAGCATCCGTTTAACTGCCTAGGTCATTTTCGCTTTTGTCTTCTCAGTTGTCTAGTATAGGTACAGTCCTTCATTTAAAAACCCTAGAGGTCAACAGTAGAACCATTTGAGAGATTGAGAGTGTTAGCAGATACATTAGGATTTAGGTCCTAAATCTATCCATTTTCAGGGCAA